CATTATAGAGAACATGAAATGATGACAATTTCCCTCGCTTACAGTTTGCAGATCCAATTATTAGTTTTTGAGATATTTTAATCCAAATGCACAAATACTTCAATTAGTCGACTCCAACCGACTTTATCCGAGCATTACACATCGGAGATCTGACGGCTCACTCTCCACAAAAAAAGTGTGAAACGCGCCAAAATAAATTTTCACTTCGAAAATCGCAGTTTAGGAAATAAACTTATTTTCAGTTCACATTTTTTTAATATTTAGATTGGTTAAAAAAAAATTAAAAAAATTGTACCATCGGATTCATTGGCTATTCTTACATGAAAATCGATACTTATCTCGATTCGCATTAAAATCGATTAGAGTTCACTTTCGAAGAAAAAAAGTGACTCAAATATTAGAGTAGAGTTCTATCAAAAGGCAGCTTCTGACAACACTGACCAATGTTTGTGCATAATTGTAAATTTAAATAAAGTAAAAATAATAAATTGGCTGGTGCATCCTCTCGAAGGGGTGGCATTCCTTTTGGGAGGCCAAACCAGTCGCAGCCGGGACGAGTTTGATAAAGTAATCTGCATGTGCACTTCTAATGGCCGGTCTCAAACAGGTAGTTCCTCGGATGAGAATAATTCTAGTGATAAATGCAGTAAAAGAAACAAGTTGGTGTGAAAGCTGACCTCAGAATGCAATCTGTATCTGCGCATATTTTTTATATACTGTAAAATTTACTTGACTTATATATATATATATATATATATATATTATTCTATTACCAGCGATGAAAAAAAAAAAAAAAAAATATTCACGATAGGATAGGATGACTTGAGTGTCGGAAGACCCTTCTGTGGCGCACTCAATCTCTATAAATAAAAGTTGAATACTAAGCAAATCACCTCCTTGATCCACCAATTCTTGTACTTCCTTGCCAAGTGCTGAAATCCAAGACCATTCGTAGGTTGTAGAAGTACTGGAGCTCGAAATGAAATTTAACTTTTATTTTTAATCAGTTTTGGTATGAATGTACTTTTCAAATTTTTGTTTAGTTATTTCGGAACTAGAACTTTTCCCTTTCAACTTTCCAAGTAAAGGTTTTACAGAACTTTTATTTTAAACAAATTTTATTTAAAAGTTCTGTCGATTTCCCTAAAAAGTCGATTTTAAAAATGGCTTTAAGTCTTATCAATTCAAACAAAAGATCCATCAGATTCATTTGTATTTTGTTTAAAATAAAATATAACCCTAAGCTAAGCCCAATGACTGTTGATTTCTCATTTAACGTATTTTTTTTTTCTTTTAGTTACTTATATAAATAAAAGTAGAACTTCTAACTATAAAATTACGAAAAGTTCCTTAGAAATTATTAAAATGAAACAATTTTTAAAAATTCATTAAATTTGGAAGCCTTCAAAAGAACATTTTCTACCTAATATATCTTAACAAACGTAATCATGTTATAAGTGGACTTACAAGGAAATTAGTTGAATACATCTGAGGTTGAAAGTTTTAAATTAATTGAATTAATTGATTAGTTATTGAAAGTAATTGTTTTAAAAATGTTAGTGAATCTTTAGGGGAAAGTATTTAATTATATTATAATTATAATTTTTTTAGTTTATGGTAATATTTTAACGTTTATTTATTCAGGTTCTTGATAATAAGTAGTTGCAGATTTAATTTATTTTAAGTCGGAATTACCTGATCATTATGTTCGAATTGATTTAACAGCATTAAAAAAAGAAATTATAAAAATGAAAGTTCTTCAAAAATCTATACTTGAATGAATCTATACTAAATGAAAATAAATATCCTAGTTATACTGAAAATGACAATATATAATTTGACAAATATACTGTACAGATATTTGTTGATTCTACTATATATAGTAATTTAGATTTTTTTTTCCATATTATATTTCTCTATATATATCGCGTCAAAAATTTATTTCGCTCATTAAAAAAAAAAAAAAAACTGAATTGGAAGTTTTAAGAAGATAAAATAATAATAATAAAAACTTGTGTACTGTAAAATATAGGTATATAAAAATATTATTTTACTATTATGTAATATTACTATTAACTTATAATAGGTACTACAAATATTTTTTATTTACCATTATTTTGGGCATAATATTAGTTTATTGTTATATTTTACCTCTCACTACACAGTTAATTGAATAAATACATTTATTTTAAAATTTTAAAAAATAGCATGTTTGGTTAATTTTTTAATTGTAAATTTACTTCAATTATTTATCGTAGTACCATAACAATCATTTAGAATAATGCATTGAAATAATTATAATAATTAAATGGCAAAATTAAAACTTATTGATGATAAATTAACGCGTTTCCTCCTTCGTTTAACCGATACCCACTCTTATATTGATACATTTATTTCTGAAATAGAAGCCAACGATACGGCAAATAACCGATTCATTATTTTTTTCCCATTTAGTACCCGTTAGCTTGAATGGAGGAACCGTTTTGTAAGGGAACATTTTTCAATTACCTCACTTAGACTTGGCAGGATCACATAGCCTGTTGTTTAGGCTACTACACTCAACAGGTGTGAGAACGATCTGGGTCTACTTCTTAGTACAGACAACTCCACTTCTAAAAAGTATTAGTTATATGTTAAATAACAGGTATCCGAAGCGCGTCACTAAACTCCAATGTCAGATGTCGCGATTTCTAAAAGACATCTGGTAGAATGAAGTTGTCATTTCATTATTAGCTTTCCCCTAAAGAAAGCACTGTAGTTGTTCTTTACGCTCCCACTTTTTTATCAAATAGACTCATTATTTATAATGACAAGAAGAAAAATGGGCAGTCTTTATTCTCGTCATTATTGCCGGATCTCTATAGCAAAGAGACCGCTTTTCATAGTTTATTGATGTTTTATCATACATAACTTTATTCGATAAAAAATAAATAAAATACTTTAATAGTAAAATTCTTAAATAACAATCGCTAATTTTTTTTTCTAAATCTCAAAGCATTTGTGCCTCTTTACTATGCGGTATTAAATAATAATTGTCTAGTTATTTATGTTGAAGCATATATGCAATATAATATTTTATTTCCACAATATTTATTTTCATATAAGTAGTAAAGGAAACTGACTCCAGCAACTCAAACTGTTTTTAGAAAACATTTTTTTTTTTTATCCTCCTTTGCTGCAAAAGTATCATTTATATGATTGATGAAGATTCTCTTGGAAAAACGCCATGCCCTTAAAAAAAAACATGAATGAAATCGCTTCAATCTAAAATTTTCAGCGCCCCCTATTGTATCTTAAATATATTTATTAACTATCAACTTATTCTTGGTTACATAAAAACAATAATGCCATTTGACCTTCTTACACACAAAAGGCATTGTAGTTGCTATCAATGGATAGTTTCTCCATTATCTATTTTTCCATGTCATTTAACTCTCACTAATTTAGTTGTGTTTGTTAATAAAGTTGTCTATTTCAATTTAAAAACAAAAAATCATTTAAAATATAAAATGATGAGAAGGAAACAAATAAACTAATATTTTTTTTTTTAATTTATTAGGATGACTTGAGCTTAAATTGAATATTTAAAATAAATAATAGAAACATAAGTTATAACTTGCTTTATTTATTTTTTTATTTATGTTCAAATAAATTCCATCAATTTTATTAATCATCATCTGGTTTTATTTGTTTTTTTAAATGTCTGTTTTTATTAAGAAATAATACATTCTGCTTTCTTAAAGGCAATAACTACTTGAGGAATATGTGACACATTTATATTACAAATAAGAATTGAAATTAAAGTAAAAAGTAAAGAAAGATATTATAACTTATCTTAATATTCAATTATTCAATTTTAATTTTGTTTTTCTTTTCGCTCCGGTCTTATCTATCCATATTTTTTGTTTATATTCTTAAATCTAAATCTGTTGCTATGTGTGTGCGTTGTAGTCTTGTAATTTCAGCATTTGATTATTTTTATGGTAAATTTATGACGTTTTATTAAGTGTCGAACAATTTTTTTATTTTTTGGCATTAAGATTTTAGACACCATATTTTGAAATATTTGTTACATATCATTACCAATTTATTAATATAATAATGCTATAGGAATAGTGATATAAAAATAGAGAAAAGGGAAAAGAATGTATATATTAATCATATTTCCAAGATTGGCCAGTATGCCGCATATTAAGCAAGCCTTTGTAGTATGACTGCACTATTTTTATTCAAGTATTTCACTCATCAAAATTAAATTAAAAAATTTAAATAAATCATGAAATATATTTATACTTAAATCTTCATCTATTTATTCTGTATAAAATAATTCGTCCAAATAAATCATTCTTGTAATTACAGGTTGTAATAAGTATCCTTCTTGCTGAGGAGAAAGAGGGGAGTAACTAAAGACGCTGCGTTACAGTCGCTTTTTTTTTTATTTTGGCAAAGTTTTGATTTATTTTTTCTTCAAGATTTTGCATTGAAACTTTTTGAGCTATAATATTGTGCTAATAGGTATCATATTATTTCATAAAAACGTTTCGAAATCGTTATTAGTAACTTTTTGCAGACGCTCTATGTTTACATTGAATGACTACTATAAAAAATTTAAAAAGTCTGAGATTTTACTGTCCCCATAAACTTACTAAGTATCGATAAATCGAGACTTTCATGGGAATTATTTTTATACCTTAATCAAGATATTTTTTCTCTCTTACTTTCTCTCTCGGCAAAAAATTATATTAAAATACGTCTACTAACTCTTCAGAAGTTTTTTTTTTTTCCATTTCATTAAAACCCTTGGGAGAAGTTCTTCCTCTCGGGATCGGTTCCATCAATCGATGTAAAAGTTGTTCCGTCAGGAAGGAGACACAACTGGGAGGTTTCTCCAGCATTTAATCAGATAAGACCACCGCAACTATTGCAGAAAACGTGCATTAAACAGAACTTTCGGAGAAAGGTAATTTAGAAAGTAAACTCGGCAGCCTTCTTTATTCGAGATGCTTTCCAAGGGCTTGTCTACTGGAGCTGATACTTCCTGTGGAGGATCGATTAAGGCTGAGAGCGGAAGGCCTAATGAGGCTTCGGCTCCATGCAACTGGTGCATTACTGCATCTTGGTGGTCTGCAGCGACGATTCGTTTGGAAGAGAACTATCTCAACATCAGAAGGACGTCGACTGAATCAAAAATATACCTTATGTAGGTTAAGGCACTAATGCTTGAAAAACAATCGAGTCGCATAGAATGATTAGCAACAATAACAGTTTGATGGAATTTTTGTTTGATATAATAAATATTTTTGACATCGAATCCAGTGCCGGCCTTAGACATCCGGGGCCCCAAGGGCAATGATGTCATCTCCTCACTAAAAAAAATTAAATTAATTTCTTAAGTTGTTTTATTTTATGTACTATTTGAATTTTATTTCATTAATACTTTATTATAGGCAAAAATTAATTATTTAAACAATTTTTGTATTTTTTAAAAATTTCTAACATGTTGGGAGTACCACTGATGATCGGCGCCTCAGGGCAATAGCGTTGTCCAGTCCTAAGGCCGGCATGGATTGATCCCATAAATTTCTCATAATGAGTCACATTCTGTTTATATTTCCTTTTGGTATTAATCGATATGTTTTGCGATGTGCTGATGACCAAGTCAAATACTGATAGAAATAAAATTAAAACAAGTTTCTAAACTCAATGCAGAGCGCACTTATAGAATTGCATCAGGCCGTTCCTTACCACTTCGATGGACCCAAGAATGAAATTTAGCGCGTTCCGCTTTTGGGGTAGATGATCCGCTCAATGTAACCTCATTATAACAGCAGGATTATTATTTCACATTTTTCATAAATAATAATAAGGTTTAGCGAACCCGAAGGTTCGATGCCGATACCACTAATCGATGTCTATATTTTTCCATTCATCGGGCACCGTATAAACCCGCCAGATCAGCCTTAACGCAATCTTTTCACCTTCGTTTCTGTCTACCCCTCGGTTCCTAGTCGGCAAAACGCATATTGTCTTCTTAGGTATTCTTTCGTTATTAATCCCAGCGACTTTACATGCCCATTTCACCTCAACTTAATCATCTCAATAATATTAACCGGGTACAGTTCGCGCAATTCAGTGTTGTGTAACCACCTAAATTATCCGATTAATTCATCCTTCTTCGGTCCCAATATTTTGCGGACATGCATGAATAAAAACTTTATCAATTTTCTTTATATATTTATATTCAGTTTACTTTCTATCTATAGTTTTTTTTTTCTGTTTTGAAACTTGGTTACGGTTCAGTTGGTAAATATCTTCTAATGTATTTTTTACTTTTCATGTGTTTGTTAAGTTCAGCATATCGTTCCTAAAATTATTATAAATCGCTGTCCATTGGTGCTGGATCCAATCGAGTGATGGGTTTATTCGATGAAATTTGCGCTGAGTTTAGGAACTTGGACTTACTTGTTTAAGAAATAGTATTTTTACCCCTATAAACAGCAAATAATGGACAAATTTACGAGTTGAAAGTTTGTTAAAACCGTAAAATTTTAGGAAAGTTTTGTGACTGTACATGCTTGAGCAAAAAACTAATCGGCTGATAAGGGTTCATTACTATTTTCGGAGGTATAAACCTTTTCCTTCCACCTCCGCCCTCTTTATCGCGATTTTTAAGTATTTGCGAGCCTCTGTAGTTCCCTCGGAATTGATATTTTAAAATTTTAACGTGAATTGAGTGTTGGTGTGAGAGAAAAACCTTTTGGGAATCTCAACTTTTTTCTTCTATCGCCGCCCATTTTGATTATTTTAATATTATTTTTGTTGAAAAATTGAAAAAAAAATATTCAAAAACAAAACATGAGATAGAAACTCAGCATTCAATTCATTTATAACTGTATTCAGTGCTCACACGTAAGCATTAATGAAATAATTAAATCAATTTTTAACTTTTTTTCATTTAAAGACATAATCTTAATGAAAAATCTGTGCGTTTATTTATTTTTTTTAAAATAATAATATCAAACAGTTTAGGCCATTATTTTTACAAGTTATAGATAACCCTGGCTGTATAACATATAAGAATCTAAAGGGAGCAAACTAACTGACAATTCACACACACTATTATGGGAATTTAAATTGTTTTAATTAAAAAAAAATAAAATGATTACAAATTGATAGTTGGTGATTTATATATTGTATCATGTAGCGAAAATATTATAAACTTAATTTTAACCTTATTTTAAGATGGTTTTGTATGCGATCATGGAGTAATTTAAAATAAAATAGGTAATCTTCTTGTCGTGAGAGCGTGTCCAAGTTTGAACTGCTTTAATTTATGAGATGAATTATTATCTTCAAGTTATGCTGAAACTAATCTTTAAGGACCTATTAGACAGATTTCACTGTTCGTTTCAGAGTTGTTTAAACTTTTTTATATCTTACCTGTGTAATAAAAACCTTAGGGCTCGACAAAAGAAATCCTAAGTCCCGGATGTTTTTTATTATTAGAAAGCTCTGTAAAAAGGAGAGGAAAAAGAGGGAAATATAAAAGCATTTCGGTCATATTGTTGCCAAAATTATAGCAGACATTACGTATTCACAGTTACCTTAGCTGGAGCTAACTGTGAACAGTGCATACTGTGAGGTAACTTGGCCTAGTCTGTATTGCTCGTTTCCACAACAGAGCATATCTAACCGTCCAGCGAGAGTTTTTGCGTCTCATTGGTATGATATGCTGCATGTCTGAACCCACGAAATCATGTAATTTCATCATATTTATGAAATATATTAAAATAATTATAATAAAAGTAGTATACAGGCTGTCCCATAAGGTGATAGAAGACCTCGAGAGCTACAAAAAAGTTCATATTAACAATTTTTCTGTGGAAAAGTAGGAAATGGTTAAAGGGTAAAAAAAAAATTATTTTAACCATTTTTTTATTAAAATAAAAAGTGTATCTTTGCAATTTTGTTTATTATAATACATCATAGGTCATCGAAAAAAAAATAAATATCATATCACGTATTTTATTTTTTTTACACAACTTGAGATGAATCTCAACTTATTTCCTAACAAACATTCAGTTAAATCAATATGGACTAAGCATTATTAAATAAGGAAGTTTTTGTAAAAGTGGGGTGATTGTTAGATGGTGTTAAAAAAAAGGCGCTTATAATTTATTCTTTTAAAAAACAGAACTTAGCTAAGTTTAGCCGTTCAAAAATCTCTTTAAATGTTTTTAATAGTAGCTAACCAATCGTTTGGTAATCAATAAAGTGTAAATAATTATGGCATCAATTCTATGACAAATGGAGCAGACATATCAAAAATTCAAATTGTAATGAAAAATAGCTCTGAGGATTGGATAAAATCCCGAAATGTTAGCTAGATGAGATGAAAAAAAAACATCAAATTATAATGGAACTTTCTGATTGCCAATCTTTAATAAAAATATAATAATTGAGCAGCTAGTCATATGATGTTTCGCTACGGTCTAGATGATACAAACAAATATGAGACTAATTCATAATCAATTATAGTATATGATTGCTCAGGTGAAGCTTTCAAAAAGTTGCTTTTGTCTCATCAAAAGGGATGTTGAGCAAACAGGTTTGGCATAATAATTGATACCGTGAATGAACGAACGATACAATTTATAAGAATATCTAGAAAATATTGAATGCTGCAGACATATGAAAATCGAAAAAAATATTTTTGTATATATGAAGTAATAAATATCATATTGTTACTTATTAATATGATGTTTAATATTTTACTTCATAAATTTCATAACAAATGTATTATAAATATTGTGTAAAATTAAATTTCAAATAAATTGATAAAGGGGAGAGTTGAAGTAACCTAATGTAAATTTTAACAGTAAAATTCTGAACCTAACAATAATTGTAAGAATGGTTAAATGGTACCTGATAATTTTGAAAAACAGTGTGGGATTCATCCTTGATTTATTTAGTTCGCTCTCAAGGTTGCAGTCATTCACATATTCCCGACATTCTCATACAGTTGAAGAAAACTAATTTTTATGAAAATCAATTTATACAGTTGATATATTAATAAATCTCAACCTTCAAACTCTGCTGGAATGTTTATGTTCTGAATCCTCATTTTAACCCATCATACAAAATAAAAGCAATGGAAATCCTTCTAGCAAACATTTTTGAAGTTGAAACTTCTTTGGGCGCGACGCGATTTGAAAATGATAACGAGTTTTATGAAAGATATGGATTAAAATACCTCAGAAACTAAAATCTCGTCTGCATACAGTATGCGAGAGAAATTTTTGACATTTCCTTAAATTTATAATGCACTATTGTTTATATTTCACATTATAAATCTCGTCTTGATGATGTTTTCACTTCTATTATGTGGTCTAAAGCACACAAATTAGTTTTTTCCTGATTTGATAATTTAATGAAAGATATTAAAATTAAAACTTAATGAATGTTAGTTATCAACCTTGATCAATTAGAATAGGATTGCGAGTATTCGCCGCGATGAATGTCGAATGAGATCGTGAATCATTATTTGGTGTAACTTACCTGAAATGAATTGATAATGAACGGCATTTTCTGGGAAAGATGGACCATAAACGAATTCTAATAGCAAGCAACAAAGATGATGTCATCAATGCTCTTGGAATTCCTCGAAGATAAACCTGAATAATAGATTAATCCATAGCTCTTCCGACCCATAATCCTTCAGTTAAGAATTTAAATTTGATATTAAAATTCTTGTTCTTAGGCAGATTAGTCGCTTTGTTTAAAGATAATGAACGTATTTATATCATTGGTCGTATGATTAATTATTTAATTTCATTATTAATTGTATTATTATACAAGTAAACTGAGCTATTGTTCTTCCAGTTTCACCATGAATTGGTGCAAAATATCACTATTTAAAAATTGATGATTATGAAATATTCCGTGATACATGCATGGCCTTTTCATCACACCCTGACAAATAAATATTTTATTTATGAAAACTCTTGGAATATGGGCGTTTTCAATCTGCAGATCGGAAAACTTATTCTATTAAATTAGGTTCTGAAAACTCGTAAATACACATTTGCTTTCCACTTGGATCGTAAGGTAATCTGATCACAAAAATATTGGGACATTTGGCCTATATAATCTCGTTATTTTGAAACATATAGTTTTCTTTGTTAGGTTCATAATTGAAAATAAG